CATATTCAGTCTAAACAATAGCATGCGGTTTGGAGGCAAACAGAAAATTCAGGGAGATTCCTCATGCTAATGTATCTTATAGGATTGAGCTTCTCTATAACTCAGTCTAAGATAAACACTAAACAACTCATTAATAAATTATAATAGTAATAACTGGCACCTGGATGAAAAATTCAGGCTTTCCCTCTTCCTTCTTTACTCAGTTTCCTTTTCCATTCCCTGTTTAACCTATGCATTTTATTTTCTCCCTTCTTTGTGTCTCCATTTCTTTCTTTCTGTCCTAATTTTCTCTATCTTTCGCTATTCTTCCCCTATCTTTTTTGCTTTCTCTTTTTGATCTATCCTTTCTGCTTTTCAAAATCTTCTATTTTCTCTCTTCTTCTTTAATCTTTCTTTAGTATTTGCTTATCTGCCCTCTTTTTTCTCCCATATCACCTCTAATATATGTATTTTTTTTCTTTCTTATCCCTAAAGCCTTTGAGATAATTTCTGAGAACACAGATCCTGATAGATGTCTCTACAAGTAGATCATTCACACAGTTAATGGGGTCAGTTGAGAAAAGGAGCAGGAGCTGGAATCAGGAGAGATGAGGAAATGAGAAATATCAATATTGGCATCACTGAGTAAGATTTTATGGATGAACTAGAGTTCCAGTTTGTTGGCTAATTGTAGGTTGGTCATTTATTAACTTAAGTCTGTAACCCTATTTGTCCAATATGGTAGCCACTAGTCAAATGTGATGCTTGAAATATGGCAAGTCTTACTGAAATGTGCTGTAAGTGTATAACATGTACATGATTTCTAAGACATTGTATGAAAGAAGAATATATATTAATAGTTTTTTATATTGGATAAATGTAAATATTTTTATACAGTGATTAAATAAAGTATATTATTAAATTAATTTTACCTGTTTCTTTTTGTATTTTTAAATATGGTTACTAGATCATTTAAATTATATGTGTGGCTTGGATTATTTTGATATTGGACAGTGCTTCTCTAGTTCTTGATAATGAAATATATACCAGATCTCAGCAAAGTCTTTCATTAGGTTCCCACTACATACTTAGGACCATTTATTTGTTCAAACTAAAAATTTTTGCCCTTCTTATACTCATCAAGTATAGTAAATGAATGATAAACTATTTGAATTTTTTTACCATGTGAAAAATTTGTTATTTTTATTGATTTTTTGGAAATATGATTCAAGAAAAAGAACCTGCATCACTATTTTCTCTTACCGATATTTATACTTAAACAAGAGGAGCTTTACTCAATTAACACATATGTCACCCTAGACTGTGAGATAGCCTGCAACAGCTTTAGGAGAAATCAGCCCAGTCTCTTCCACCCAGTAGGCAACCTTGAGTCATGTGCCTTTCCTGTCTGCCTGGATTAGTGACCGGGGCCCTATCGAAGGCAAGATGTAAAGTAGACCAGGAGACTATTGGGTGGTCCATGGGTCTTGTGACCAATACAGATGCTCCATTTTGGATGGTGATACAAAGTTTCAATCAGCTTTCTTACCTTAGGGGAAATATGCTCAGGATGAGCCTCTGCCCTACCCATAGCATAACGGTGAAAAAAGGCTGTAGGAAGAAATAAAAGGCAGAAATAAAGAGAAGCTGAGCGTCAAAAGAGAAGCAAATTCAGAAAGAGGAAGCGTCAGAGAGAAGCTGAGTCATAACTAGAATACAAAGTAGACTTTTCTCATGTTGGAGGGTACACCAGGTGGCCTGACCACCAAGGCCACCATAGTAGCCACTGGTCCAGGCTACCATTTTTTCAGGGCTCTCTGAGGACTGGCAATATAAGGCTACGCTTCGTTACTTTCTGTAGTCTCTTTAAAATAAGCCTTCATTCTACTGGGTGTTTACTTCCAAAGACTTGAAAACCCATATCCGAAAAGATATTTGCACACCAATATTCATAGCAGCATTATTCACAGTGGCCAGGACATGGAAGCAACCAAAGTGTCCTACGATAGATGATTGGATAAAGAAGCTGTGGCATATATATTATATA